TTTTTTTTGTCTTTTCAAATATATATGTATATACGATCACTTCAGAACTAATAAAAAAAAATCGTGAAGTAATTGTTAGGTATGTCATTCAATTTCGAATGAATACACATCGTCTTTATTATAATATAATATTGAAGGTAATCATATGCATGCTTCATTATTCGCAAATATTGAAGGTGAATCATTGTGAATATCAAAGTTATATATTTAATCAGTAATAGTCGATTTTTTTAAGTGATAAATACGAACAAAACTAATAAAGATAAAAGAACAAGAGTCAATACTTGTCTAAATTATTATATCATAAAAACCCATTGTTATTGTCATAACTAAAAACAATGATATTATCTAAACAGAAAACAAGGAGAAATTTATTGTCATTTTTCTCTCATCAGGTGAGTATATAAAGATAAAGAGAGGTGTCTGTATAAAACTACATTTACTTAATAAATAGTAAAAAAACATGATTTTTTCTTTTGTTATAAAAAAATAACTTTATCTCACTATACGACAATTTTATATGATCGAAGGGTACAAAAATCTTTTCTTTACTTCTCATATTTCGACAACTCTAATCTTACTTACTCTTTATACAATTACATTACTTTATTTTATACACGACATGTAAAGGTTGACATATTGACATATATCATTCTAATGACAGAAAAAATATCAATACGTTTTTTTGTAGATAATCAAATGATGATGTCATTTACATCTGTTAATTCATCGGATGTACCCAGTACAATATTATCAAATAAAAATTTGGATGATTATGATTATGAAGGTGCAGCAATTTATATAGCTGTAATATTAATTTGGTATTCAGCTGGTTTAGTATTAATGTTATATTTTCGTGTACGTCCACGTACATTTGAAAGTCGATTTTTATTTGATTATGAAACATCGGGAAAATCAGCATCGTCAACGACAAATCCATTTGCTCGTTATAATGATATACAAGCTGATAATATAAAAAAAACAAATTCTTAATGAATTAAAAGATCCGGAAAATCGACAACGTTTATGGAAAATATATTATTCATCAACAGAAAAAGAAAATCAACCACATTCACAATATTATCAAACAATTACATCAGATAATATTACAATTGGTCGTATCAATAGAAAATTAGCTGATATTCATCGAATGGATGCTCGTATGGATAGTATCAATGGTGATGATTTAATATCATCAACAGTTAGTTATTCTTCAAATGAGAATAATCGACCTGATACAACAAAATTTTTTTCGAAAAAATTTAATTCACGTCGATCAAGTGGTGGATCATTAAATATGCGACGACCTATCTTTCGAGTTCAATCTCAACCTCAAACACCACCACTGAATTCAACGGCACAAGTCGACGCGTCCAATACTAAAAAACAAACAGTAAATAGTTCACGTAAACCAATTAATAATTCACTCCATAGATTTACTGTCGAACGAGTACCTGAAATTAGAAAATGTTCAACAGTAAATGAAAATGTATCGTAATTCTTCCAAAAATTCAATGCTAAATCATTTTTTAATTGTATAGAATTGATAGTCCTGTGTAAATCTAAAACAATGTGTAGAATAAAATATAAAACATACTAGAATTGCTTTTATTGTAAATGAATCCAATAACTCACGATGATTGATTTGACAGTTCGGCCCGATCAGGAGCGATTAAATATTCAGCCTGAAAAGATGTGTCCTGACTTTCCACATCCGGATTCTATCAACTCTTCGAACCTTACACAATCTGTCTGAATTTATTCATTTGGATATAGAAAAATTCCTAAAATATATCAATACCTACGATACTTTTAGCTAAAATAGAATTTATAAAATCTACTATTTTTTGTATCCTTCAGCGCATTGTCGTATGTTTACTATGTCTGAAACACAGATTATTATATGTATGCTTGAAGCAGAAAAGAAAACGTCGTTATTTCACTAGGTTCTTTTTTTATCGATTGTATCACAAACTCTTTATTGTACATTTAATTAATAAAGATATTATTAATAAACATGAGATATTAATGAATCTGACGGAGAAATAAAGTACTACATCTCTTAATAATAATAAAGAACTAGCATTATTAAAACAACTGTTAATAATTAAATGAAACTAATCCTATTTATGTTCAAAGCTGAAAAGGAAATAATCAGCTTTGTCATATTTCCTTTTTCTTTTTCTTTTTTTGCTTAAGTTACATTCATAAAAAAAGAAATAATCAAACGAGAAAGTGTTATATTTTGATTTAAAATTATGTATCCGATATGATATAATATTTCTATATATGAAAAATCCGTCGGATTGAATTATGTATGGAAGAATAGAAGGATCTCATTTTTCACACATATACTTAATGCCATTCACGAAACAGAACATAGGACATATAATTAATCGTAAGCTGTAGCAAAAGCACAGCACAGGACGTTCAGCTAGACAAAATCTAAAAGCGCAAAAGTCGACCGAGAGCAATAACATCAGTACGTAAGAAATAAAAAAAAAGTCATCAGATTGGATGCCTATTAATAATTCTTTCTTCTGCTTCTTCTTCAAAACTCCGTGCATATACTAGAACAAAAGTCATATTATGAATAGAGAAGTCGAGCAATAAGAATGTGAAGAAGAAAAAGAAGAAGAAAAAAAGGTCTACAGGAAATGCTATTGATTTAACAGTCGACATTGAAAACAACAACGATATTAGTTGAAAAGAAAGTAGATTGAGAAAGAAATCAAGAACTTAATAGAAATATGACGAAGTTTTTCCTTCTAATCTTGATCATATTGTATTATTTCAAACAAGGACAAACTCAATATTATCCATATCAACATTATTCACGACAAGTGCCAAGTGAAAAAGTTTATATTAATAAAACAACTATAGAAGATGATGTTAATGATGAAGATAAGAATATGTGTCAACTATCAGTACGATGTCCAACGTTACCTACACTTTGTAAATTAATTCATTTTCTTTGTTTCATAATTATTTGACAATTTTTTTTATTATAGCTCCCTATGATCGAGATACACGCAATCGTCGTTTTACAGTTGATAGTTTCTTAGCAATGCATGGACCACCAGGACCATCTGGTCCACCAGGTCCACGAGGTAATCCTGGTTTACGAGGTGCTGTTGGACCACAAGGTAAATATATTCAATAATTTCTTTCAAACAATTATTTTATTCTCTATTCAGGTGAAGTTGGCCGATCAAAAGAAACAGTACCTATTGTTGCATTTATAGCCTATCTTCAAAAGATGCTTTCCGTAGAATCGAACCGATCAGCAACAATTGTCTTTGAAAATGCAGATGTTAATTTAGGCAATGGTTATAATCCATCAACAGGTATATTTACTGCTACTCATCAAGGTATTTATAAATTTAGTATGACAATTATGGCACAAATGGATTCAATTGTAAGTAGTTTTAATAAATATTTCTATTATTTTTGTTTTATATTATAACAAAAATCTTCAGGCTACTGTACGTATTATTCATAATCATCAAAATGTACTTAGTATGATACGATGTGATTGTCGACGACGTTTTTCTCATGTTCGTGGTTCTGTTTATGCTGAATTAGATGTTAATGATCAAGTTATGGTTGAAGCACTTGGTGATCTTAATGACCCAGGTCAATCAGCTCCTCGTAATAACATATATGGATATACATATACACATTTTAGTGGTGCACTTTTATTTTTAACAAATACATTATCAGATTCTTAGATATCAATTTTCGTTGTTCTGTTGTCCGTAGAATAAAATTAGAACTAATACAATGAGCAATTTGTCTCCTTCTTTTTTTCTCTTCTTCTTCTCCTTCTTTGATTGTTACAATGCATATAATTCAGTCTATTGATGCAATCAGAGAATCATCTCTCTAGTATTGTTCTACTCGTTGTTTCTTTAGTTTTTTTTGAATATAAATATATGAATCTCTGTTATTATTGTTGTTGTTGTCGTCTTTATTCTAAGATCTAATTCAATTTGAATAAAATGAGTGTTATGCCTCTCGAGAACAAGAAAAGAGAGCGAACGGCAAATTCCTCCTTATTAATAACTGCCCTTGATATCTTGATATTATATTTTATTTATAACGATCCATCTCTCTTTCTCTACATATATATATCTATAATCGATTTTGTTCAATCTCAGGAAAAAAACAAGTATTATTTCTATTTATAATATAATAGAATATAGTTGGTAAGTATCATAAAAAAAGATCTGATATAGATTGATCATTTTTTATTGATTAGTTTATTTTTTATATATATAGAAAAAAAATAGTTTAGTAGATTTGAAGATATTTTCTCGTTTGGTAGAATCGTTCTTATATGTCTTTTTTTTCTCTCTTCCCATCCAATAGCAATTGATTGAAGAAGACGAAATTTCTGTCTTTGATGAAAATTTGATTATAGTTGTAATATTACTCATTATCATTATTGAATGAATTATGTTTGAACGTCTCCTAATAAGATAAATTTCGATCATGACGTCGACGAAAGAGAACATTTGTTCACATACACAATAGATAGGCCGATTTTGTTAATGTTGAGTTTCTGAATATTTCCATCCGGTGGTGGTGGGGGGAGTATACTCAAAATGACAAGATAGAGAAGTAAAAAATATATCTGACATTCTAATTTTCTTTTTTTGACTTCTTTGAGTCAATCAATATTTAATATAGTCACTAACGATCAATCGTTAACCTTGATAGAGCAAAAAAAAGAGAGCAGAATAATAACAATTAGAGAGTTGTCGGCAATTTCTTTTCTTTTATTTGTTTTCTAGATAATCATTCTTTGATATATAACAGACATCTTGTTTTTGATGCTGTAATATAATATTGATTTCTTTCTAAATGTTCAATATCACTATTAAATATACTTCATGTGGTATTGCACATTTCTATTCGTTTATAATTATTTCATTTCTTTAACAATATCAAAACAAATACCATTAATTGGACTTTTTACACAAGATAAATATGATACGAATTATTCAGCATCAACAATTATTGAGTATGCAGTAAATCGTTTAAGAACAATAGAAACAATTCAAACTGAACTTGATATACAACATGATGAACAAGATATTCCATGTGATATGGCTATTGGAACAAAAATGGTTTTTGATATGTTACATCGAAAACCTCGACCATTAGCTATATTTAGTGGTTCTTGTCATACAGTTGCATCAGCAATTGCTGAAACAGCTGGAATATTTGATATGACGATAGTATGAAAGACAGAATAAATGCTTTTTTTTTGTTCAATATTTTTTCTTGAATAGATTATTTATTCTGAAACAAGTTCACTTTTTACTGCAAGAGAAAAATATCCATCATTAATACGAACTGTACCTGGTGATTCTCAACATAATATTGGTAAAATAATTATTTCTCAAATTAAATAAATCGAATTTTTTGCTTTATTTTTATAGCTCGAAAATTATTATTAAGAAAATATAATTGGCGTCGATTTGGAATATTATATCAATATGAAAGACAATATACGATGGTAATTGATAATAATATGAGCGATGCACTAGCAGTACAAGAGGCAGCAATTGCCTCTTCTAGAAAAGATTTTGAGGAAGTAATATAAGATTATTGCTTCGCCTAATTTCGCTGTTACTACGATGAACTCAGTCATATGTAGTGCGTCATCACACTATACAGTGATCGGAGTTTAAAAACGAAGTTTGATTATTTCAAAGAGTTTCTTTTTATTTATTCTAGCCTGTAACACGATTCAATGATCTTTTACAAGATGAAAGTGATTGGGAGAATGCTTTATCAAGAGGTATATCATTCAATGATCTTGATGAAACACAAGGCAATCGAACAAGAAATTCATTAAAAGATGCATTTGACGAATTACGGGTAATTATTCAATAAAAATCATCCTAGAAAAATCTAGATTCATTCTAAAAATAAACATAGACATATAGTCAAACAAAAACTTTGCCGGAATTTTTCTCGATATTATTGAAGAGTCTACTTTCTTTTGAAGTCTATTACAATAGATGCAAGCAGCATATAATTTGATATCTATTATATTCATATAATAGACAAATTATTTGAACAATACAAATGTGTTATTTCATTAACATCAATGCATATATATATATATATATATATATATCTTTTGACAGGAAAAAGATTCTCAAATGATAAATATTATGTATTTTCTAGAAAAATAATATTCGAATTATTCTTGGAAATTTTAATTCAACTATGGCTGTTCGAATATTTTGTGAGGTAATTTAATTAGAGTTTATATTAAAATAAATATAACATAAGAATTATCTAGGCATTTCGATATAATTTATATGGTTCGCGTTTTCAATGGATAATTGTTGGTTATTATGAACCTAAATGGTGGTTAAATAATCCAGGTCCTTGTAATACATCTGAAATTCTTCATGCACTCAATGGAACACTTCAAACTCGTGTAGCAAAATTAGGTTATAATACTAGAAAACGAACAAT